AGACATAACAATACAGATGGGAGTATGCTGACCCCATCTCTCAAGTCATATTATTCGCCCTTGAGACATAACAATACAGATGGGAGTATGCTGACCCCATCTCTCAAGGCATATTATTCGCCCTTGAGACATAAAAACTAACACTAAAGATGGGTGTATGCTGACCCCACCTTTCAAGGCTTATTATTCGTCCTTAATAAATGAAATATAACATTAAAGATGGGTGTATGCTGACCCCACCTTTCAAGGCTTATTATTTCATCCCTGCAACAATAAAAATCAAAGCAGTCAAAACAAAACATTTACTTTACCTTCAGTTTCAAAAAATTGATAAAGTCTTGCAAATCAGTCACTAATAATAACCCGCTCGGCCAAAGCCTGACTGGTTTAACATTTTTCGGGGACGAAATTTTTGTCAATGCCTCTATTTTTCTCTACTCCGATCTACCATCTTCGGCGGAAATCTTCCATCCAAGAAAATCAATTTTTTTTGTTTGTGAAAACATTTTCAAATATTTAGGAAAAACCATGCTTTTTCTAAGGCTACTAAAACTTGCTTAAAATAAATCAAACCCTGTAAAACAATATTGCTAAAAGTCGACATGGCAATAAAATTATTAATTAAATTAATTTCCATAGCACAGTTGTTTACTGCAGAAACATAAAAACTAGTAATTATAAACTCGGAATATTTTTTAACAATGTTGCAAATTTCAAAATGATATTTCTAAGGGTACATTTAATTTTTGTAAACAATCTTTAGAGAGTCGTAAAACACCTGGCAATTGTCGTTGTATAACTCGAGTGCCATCCCTATCGGTAACAGCAGCGAGACTACTATCGGCAAATAAATTACAACCGACGATCACGTCGTAGTCTAAATACATCGATGGAACTACCATAAATATTAACCGAGTGTGTTGGCCCGTTATTTCTACATCGGCCTCAAATTTATATTTCGACATGAACGAGTCAAGTGTTATGCCTTTAATACAAAATTTTTGTGGAATTAGCTTTAACTTGAACCTTTCAATAAACTTATCAGACATGAGAGACACCTCAGCTCCGGTATCGATAACACCCATATAAATATTTGTATCAATGTATATTTTTGTAGGCACAGTGCTTTTCTCGGTTTGGATAAAATTAACGTTGCGTCTGTTTTCGATCGTGTTCTTAAGAAAACAATCATTAATTTATGCCCAAGCTTAAAACAAAACTGGCATTTATTAGTTTTGACTTCATCATTTTTTGTTTTGGTCTCGTTAGGTTTCGTGAACGAATTATTGAATCTTGGAATTTTATCATGCCTAAAATACTGACTCTTATTTTTGGAAGAACATTTACGTTGTATATGCCCAATGCAGCCACATTTATAGCAATTTAATTTTGAATTCAGAAAATCGGGTTTATCGAATCGTGATCGTTTTAATGCCGTATTTGCTTCATGCTTATTGGTAATAATTAAATTAGTATTACTAATATTAGCGGGCTTTGAAATAGTGCTTAAATATGATATTAAATCAGTTATCGAATTTAAATCTCTAATAGTAACGGATTCTTGTACATTTCATAAATCCCGTAAACAATTAATTCAGTTAAAAAATTAAATCTTCTGTACTTCGATTAGCACGCAATTTTTCCACTAAAGTAAACTTTCTAATTTGAATATAAACAAGTATAAAAATTAGAGAGAACTGTCAAAAGAAGAGCTTCAAAAAGTAAACGTCCAACAATTTTCTGTGTGAAAATGATTCATAAAAATTCAAATTTAAAATTAAAATGTTTCAATAAAGCAACACTTTTTTTATGAACTAAAGAGTGGGCTGTCAAAGGAAGAGGTTACAATTTTCTTTATTAAAATTACTCTTACAAGTCCAAATTTAATTTTTTTTTTCAATGAAACAATCTTTTTTGTTTTGAACATAAAATGTATAAAAATTAGGTTGAGCTCTCAAAAGTAGAGACTTTAAAAAAATAATCGTCCAACAATTTTCTGGGCGAAAATGACTAGTAAAAGTTCAAATTTTAAATTACATTTTTTTTCAATAAGGCAATCCTTTTTTTTTATGAACGTAAGCTGTATAAGATTTACAAAGTGAGCTGTCAAAATAAGAAACTACCATTTTCTGTGTAAAAATGACTCTTAAAAGTTCAAAATTCAAATTAAAATTTTTCAATACAGCAATCCTTTTTTTTATGAACGTAAGCTGTATAAGATTTAGAAAGTGAGCTGTCAGAATAAGAAACTACCTTTTTCTGTGTGAAAATGACTGTTAAAAGTTCAAATTTAAAATTAGACCAATCTCTTAATGTTGAAGACCAATTCTCAAACCATATTTTAGCATCGAACAATAAAAAGCGTTCAATTCTTACCAGTATCTGCTGGTCTTACCACTCAAATTTCTCTTTATCTTTTCGACCTGTTGTATCCAAACCTTAGAATCGTCGGTATCTGACCAAAATAAAAGCAAATCAACTTGTTCTGGAGTTTTTCTGCTGTTTTTGAAACTGTGCAACATCTCTGCGAATAAATCATCCTTGATACACTTTTAGACACTTCGTTTTAAATGTGAAAACGTGAACAGGATCCACACTTCTGATGTTAGAAGTTGAAAGATTTAACTTCAAAATTATTGTTTTAAAATGATTTATCACCCTATATACTATAACACCCTGTATAGCCACTTCATAAAACACGTGTTAACATGGTTTCATAACGTTTTATTAAATGTCTCGTAAACAATGTTTGAAATGTAATTAATTAAGGAACAAAATAAAGAATGTCTTTAAAGGGCACTTTATCGCGTTCAGCTGGTCGAAAGTAAAGTCCCTGAGCTCGGCGCTCTCCTGGTCCTGAACACTGAATCGGGTAGATGTGGTATTGTTCACCACAGTGGCGGCGATATCCTAATTCGCTGACTCTAACAGACACTGCAACAGGCAGACGTGGTATCGTCGACCCAGTGACGGCGATATCCTAATTCGCTGACTCTAACAATATTCATAGACTTCTATCAATCCCTCTAAATAAAACTAATTATCTTCAAGAATTAAATATACTTAAACAAATTGCATTTAACAACGGGTATGACCCGAACATAACTCAATCTCTAATCACCAAAATTAAATTCAAGAAAATTCAAAAATTACCCTAATTTAAGTTATATTAATAATTTTTACATATCAATCCCCTTCTGGGAAATTACTTAGCTAAGAGCATTTCAAAAATTTTTGCTAACAACGTAGATAACATTACTCAATTAAAAAATTAGACTCTCATCTAGTCAACACAAAAAATAAAACGAATTTGTTAGATAAGAGTAGAGTATACAGGTTGCAATGCAGCGATTGCGATGCCAGTTATATTGGCAAAACTTGCAGATCTTTGGGAGGTCGGATAGGCGAGCACATCAAGAAGCCGGACACATCTGCATTTGGACATCACTTGAGATTCAATCAACATAATTTTAGCCCAACAAAAAACTCCAAATTATTGGTCAACATGAACACAAAAAATTTCAACTTATTAGATTTTCATGAAGATGTTGAAATTACCTTAACAGAAATTTCATACCACTCCATAGACAACTTAATTAACCCTCTATGATGATGTAAGTCCGAGTCGCTCAATACAAGCCTTTGAGAGAAATCCCCTCCTAAACTTGATTTCACCCATCAGAGCCTACCTTTGGGACCATGGCACTTTTATGATTAAAACTTTTTTGTTCTTTATTTTGTCTCAACCATAAGTACGCTTGTTGAGTGATTTAAAATTTTTAGGACTAAACATCAGATTCACCTTTAGGGACCGCGGGTTCGGTTGTGCTATCTTGGGTTCTCTGAAAAAAGTTCTGGCATAACAGAGTCACGCGAGTGATATTTTTGTTTTGTCTTGACATCAAACGGATCATTAAAAAGATCAATTCATATTAAACATTTATTTAAATTTAACTAACAAATAAATCAAATTTGAAAAATTTTCTTTAAATTCAATACTAACAAATTTTTATTTCCTTCAACCACCTCCAATCACTCGAATCACACTTGGAGAAACGTGTTCCACACCTTCTCTCTTGACATTTGACAGGTCAACGTCTTTAAGTGTCGCTTGTCAGCACTGTCATATGGACACGGTTAAACAATATTATTAAAAATGAATGCATAAAGAAATTTAAATTTGAAAATATTACTAATAGTAATAATTATGATTTAGCAAGTTGTGAATATCCTGAAATATCTAATTTTGGGAACGAGGATGACTAAGAACTTGTTGGATATGTTTGTGGACAGTAAGTAGACTTTTTTACAATTATAATGTAGAAACAACCTTCAGTTTTTTTTCTTGGGCCTTTTGCGTTTAACATTTTTCATATTAAGTATTGTATTCTAAATTTAAATTTCAATATATTTTCGACAGTAATTTTTGTCCCTCACCAAAGAACATGGTCAAATTGGGCTAAGCCATTTTACATTCGTCTATGCATAGGGAGCGATGTTGCAATTTTTCACTTTAGTGTCTATTCGGCCTGTTCAGATAACAGTATCTTATGGACCCTACATTTTTAAATCTTATCACAAGATTCCTGAAATAATTAGACAAAAATAAAAGAATGTATTTTGCGTTTTAACTTTTAAATACTCTAAAAAATGATGGAAAGTCCATAACTTTTAAATATTTGTTTAATATCACTTATTAAAATATTATGCATTAAAAGTAAAACAAACTGTAGACTTTCCACCATTCTTTACAGTTTTTTGAATCCATTTATGAAAACAGTTTTTGAAAATATTATCGTTCATAGCTGTATTTCTTGTGATAAAAAAGTCGCCGTCACTTGTCATTGACAACGCATTGAACTTGCCTTTAACATCGAATTTTTTTTATCCGATGTTCTCATTTAACATCGATGTTTTAATTAATATCGATGATTTCCTTTTCGATATTTGTAATTTTTAGAGATTTGCTGAATAAAGTGGAGAATGAAGATAACTTGCGTATGTTAAAAGAAGAACATATGGAAAATGAAAACCTGCAAGAAAAATCACAGTGTGATGAAAGAGAAGAACCACATGGCATTGGGGAATCGGTTGATGGTCACAATGATGTTGTCAATAATGTTGTTCACTCGATGGCTGAGCATCAAGAAGAAATAGAAACATTGGTAATTACCAATGAAAACACAGAAGAAATATTTAGTCAGGAAGAAGTTACGTTATGCATTACATGCTCTAAAGATGAAAGTAAATGTATATTATGTCAAAATACAGCAATAATTGAAGAAACCAGACATGATGCAAGCCGGGGCCAAAAGCGAGCAGCAAAAAAAATGTTGGCAAATATTGGTTCGTGCGTCCTTTTACCTATTGATAAAATTGATAGAGGTCCTTCTGACATGCAAAATTTGATGTGTGTTGTAACAGATTACAAAAATGGGGTCTATCAAGTCGGATGTGTAGCTGGTCGAATCAAATCATGATTCAAGCGAAATGATTTAATGGAAACCAAAAAGGCATTTCTTCAAGTAGATGAGGTCCCTGAAAAGTTTCTATCAATACGAGAAGCTGTGCAGTCGCTGTTACTTTCCGGAGGTTAAGGATACTTTAAGTGTTCATGTAAGCCAGCAAAAAAAACAATGTTTGTCAAACAGATGTGCTTGTGTGAGAAAAAAAGTTCTTCAATAAATAATAAACCATATTATCTATCATTTTATAGTTTTCATGTAGCTTTTATTTTATTTCGTTCCAATTTGTACGTTCTATGATTTTTTTATAGTATATATGCTCTAGATAGGCGAATTTAATCTCAGAATGAGATAGATAAACTGGCGCCATGGGAGAGAAGACCTCCAGATTTTCCTAAACCATCTGAACAGTTTTCATCCTAAAGTTTAGTTCACCATGGAACTAGAAGAAAACCAACAAATTCCTTTACTGGTAAATCCAGACATTACTCGACTAGATTGCACTTGGATGCTATAGAAATACACAAACATGGAAACAACTTCAATAAAAAGGAAGAAAGAACAACATTACCTAGGATCTGGCACACATCATTAAAAAGCGCCAAAATAATAAATACCTCCTAATACCAGTACCGCCAAAATAGCGCTCGCAGACCAGTAGCTTCTCGTGAATAACAAATCGGGGGTTCAGAATGAGAGAATATAGGTCTTAATTTGGGTATTAACATATTAGTTATCCTTTAGCCTGGTGTTGTAGTTGTGAATTTGTTAATCAAAAATTACAAAACTATTACAATAGGAAAATAGAAGATTATGAACCATTTTATAGATAAACACATTGCCAAATACATAAGCCTTCAGTCTACGGATAACCACTCCAAGGTCTCTAGCATTAAGAATATTGGAGTAAGTATGCTACATCTTAAAATAGTTCTCACTGCCCGGTTTGAAGCTTTTGTAGTGATTTCATTTTATTTAAATCAAACACTTAAAGTAAGGTAGGGCAATATTCAAAATGAGGTTGAATAATAGTTTTATATACAGTTATCCTGGAATACATGGTTATGTGTTGTAAGACTACCGAAAGAAAATATAAATTCTTCAAAAGTCTCTATTGCAAATAATTAAACTAACTATTGAAAGATAAATGACTGTTAAGCATAAAACCAAAGTATTTGAATTCCCTTACCCACTCAATAATATTTTCTTCTATTTTAATGACGACTTCATTAATATTTATATTTTTATACTTAAAAGGTGTTATTATTATCATACCTTTCGTTTTAGAAATATTTAGTTTTAATTCATTTATTTTAAAGTATTTTGTAATATTGTGAAGTGACTTATTCATTTTTCCATGGTAACATTTTAACATCTTGTTTGGTTTTGTTTATTTGATTTGCATATAAATGTTAATTTTCGTCCCCAATTTATATATTATATGGTTATTTTACAATAAAAATTTTAAAGATTTTAGCTCTTTTAAATTCGAGATTATTTAATTTTAAAATTTATTTTAATAAACCCTGATGCACAAGGTACATAAAATAAAAATTTCTTTTTTAAAATTTAAAATATTCTTTTACAATACTTTACTTTATCATTAGATTAAACTTTTCTTTATAATAATAAATTAAAAATTATTTCTTTTAATAAAAACTACACTATAATTACTAATAAACTATTTATTTCAAATTAAATTGATTTAACAACTATCTTTTTAATGTAAATAAAATGCTTAGATAAAGCTTTAATTTGAATCTAGATTCACTTTCCAGTAAATCTACTTTGTTACGACTTATTTCATTTTAAATGAAAGCGACGGGCAATATGTACATATTTTAGAGCTTAAATCATTTTAATAAATTAATTAAAATTACTTTCAAATCCAAATTCAAAATACTAATAATTTTTTAACTTGTTTTCAACTGTACTCAATGCGAATAGTAAAGGTGGTATAATTCCTTAGTTCCACACAAGCTAACTTGCTTCTCGAGATCAGATATGATTTTTTAGGGGCTTATCCCACACTCACTATTCCCAACACTGGGTTATTTCACTCTGTTTATTATCTTTTAATTGTTAATTTGTTCAAAATTACCTTAGTCTTACTCAGATTTTATATTTACACATATTTGTAAATTGTAAGTTTACATCCACAATTTTTGTAGATAAGCACTGATGATGGCACAATGCCGAAAGCGCTTTGCATTTATTAATTAAAAAGTTTTGCACGAAATATAAGTCTTTCCTTTTAAATCTAAACTACGTGCACACAGCTGTCAACCTTTTTTGTTTATTTTAAATATATGAGTTGATCAAAAATTTCAAAGAAAGCCTGTCTCAACTAATATTTAAATGATTTGGGAACGAGGGGAAGAGACAGCGACTAAGGTCCAGGCGTTAACGCTGTCCCACTACCCACCGACGCCGATAAAGCGTATCTCGGGAATTTTAAAGTAAATTTTAAAGTTGTGATTAAATAATAAATATCAGCCAACTAATTTTAAACTTAGTGAAATCGAAACTACGTTTCGAGCAAGGTCCTTCCTCTTTCACTATATTAAAATTGTGACATTTGTCAAATTATTTAGTTACCTCTCTTCGTAGATCTTATAGGAAGTGATATAGTAGTTTATATTTTGACTTTGGTAGTTACAAGATCCAACGAGATTTTTGACACGTTGTGCCATTTATTCTTATAGTAGTTATTGGTATTTTATTATCGTCGGCTAAATTACCGAATCATGCGAGAACCTCAGGGTGGATCTTGTACCTCTAAACATATGAATTATTGAATCGTTTTTTATATTTAAAATTATTACATGTTTAAATATATTGAGTTGTTAAGCATTCATCTGTTTTTATCTTATGTGTGTTACGAGTTGCTGAGTTCAGCCCGAGTTTCATAAAGAGGAACAACCCCTAGTTTAGCTAAGCTTTCTAATCAAATCCAGAGTTCGATATTTGAATAATTATTTAGTTGTTTCTTTTAATTCTTAACCAATACATATATAACTGTGGAATATATATTCCATCCTCATCAGGTCTACCTTCTCCTTTTATCAAAAAGACACTCCGGGCACTTTTGCGAAGCCCCGGCGAACCTACCCCCGAGTAAGGACTATAGGTGCATATTATCAGTTTGCCAAACCATTTCCTTAACCCGCTCGCACTATTCATCACGGGGGAAAAATCTTTTATTTTTAAACCTATTATTTTATTTTTTCTTTTCCCTTTTTTTTGTCACGGTGTAAGCTCTAAGGACCTTGTCCCCTGACTGTGACGTGATAGTCGCTGCCTTTACCCTTACAGTTAATGACTAGAGTTCTCTTTGCCACTATATTGTTATTTAGTGACAGCAGTTACTTTCTAAGTGACGGTCGTTGTTACAGTTCATGCTAGAGTAGAAGCTGAAAATCTAAGACACCGAAATGATCAGTGGGTTCCACTTAACAATAGACATATTTTTGACTTTCCCCGCTTAACTCTTTAATACCTTCAAAGAATTTCTGCTACATATCACGAATATTTGTCCTCATCATACATACAGGATACTATTCAATACAATGAAGCTAATGTTATTGAAGTTGATCGGGTATTCTATGAAGAAGGCTTTTTAAGGTTTAGGGTATTTTCTCGATTTAGGAATAATACCAAGTATATGACATGGATAGTTTATAATAATGAACCACAAAATCCAGATGATCCGCCCATATTTGGCTATTACTGCACATGTTAGTCTGGTACAAGAACGATTGGATCATGTGTCCATAGATACGCGAGGCATCTTGAAAATATCAAATATCTATCAACACGACTTTTAGATTGTATTCAATGAATTACATTCCATTACAACAATACATTACAATTTGATGAAAATCGTGGATTTTACTGTTTTTTTTTTATATTGTCTATTTTCCACTTAGGGATTTTTAATAAATTTAAAAGAAATTAAAATAAAATCTGCTACCGAGTTTCATATTGTATTTTAAGTTGTAAATTATTAGGATTTTTTTTACATTTTGAAACATTTTATTTTTTGTGTTATTCGATTCAAGCAACGCGTTAGTTATCCAAGAAATGATGAATAGTGAAGAAATTGTAACGGTCTTGTTAATTTTTTTTATTTATTAAATACACTACAGGCTTAGATTAAAGAGACCGAAGATGTAACATTGCACACTGCGCATGCTGTCTATTTTAAGCCAAAGTAACCCACCAATTGAAAATCATTGTTGCACGACGCCACCCGAATTGCTCCGATTTCCATTCAGCGATCACACCTCCACCTGAGTTTAATCACCATTGACAGCTGTTTTTTGATTTATTTGTTGATATTTTAGCAATTTAAAGTGTTCTAGTTATTCAATTTTAAGTTCAAAATGTCACGATGTATCTTGAAAAATTGTATGTACTTATAATACAAGTACTACTGTTATGAATATATTCGTTTTCAGCGGTAAATATTTATTAACGTTTTGACATAAAGCGCCATGATTCTCTGGGCTGAATACTTCAGATCCGCATTAAGGGGTTTCAATAAATATTAAGCATCAGAAATCAGATTTCATATTACATAAATTTACAAAAGGGTAAAATTTTGAACATTTAATTCAAATAAATAGTAAATAGGCATTATTGCTAACGAAATTTTGTATTTAAAAAGTAGTTTTATAAGAATGTTTTCTAAAGGTAGTTTTTAGCCCTTTTTGGTAGATAAATAAGAGGTAAAGATTCATAGTTGTTAGCTAAATTTTATTTTTATAAGGTATTTTTATAAGAATATTAGGTGCAATACAGGATGACCTACTTAAAATTTCAAGGTTCATCTTATTTGCGGTCAAATCGAAAGTGACATTGAATTTTCAGTCTTAAAACAAAGTATAAGCAAAAAAAATACTAAAGTTACAGGAGTTAGGTCCGATTCCACCGTTGTGTTAAACGGAGATTAAAATGACAGTGTTAATGTAAAAATGTCATTTAAAACTTCGTTTAACACAACGGTGGAATCG